TCGTCTCCAGATGTGCTGGTTAAACTCTCAGCCTCCGGACAGAGAGGATCCCCAGGCGAGGCTACGTTTGCAATTATCTGAAGTTTGCCAATATGGATTCTAAGACTCAGTCGAAGCTCAGTCGAAAAGTCTCTCTTAAATGAGATAAAAGAACGTTTTTTCTACCAGTCATTAAAGGGTCATTATCTGGAATATTATCATTAATGCTTCTACACATTGCTATCATCAAAACAACATCTCTATAGCTTTACTTAAAAACCTTAATTTATCATTGGCTTTCTCATTAAATATATGCACATGTCTTCCAAATGTTTCAAAACGGCAACTGACATCACCACTGCCAACATCGTCTTCATCTTGGAATCTGTACGTTTTTTTTTTTCCCAGATGAACCTAAGTAATCCACATAAATGAACTATATACATAATAATTGTCCTTATTATCATTATTATATCTACAGGAATTCTTTTCGACTCCACTTATTCCTTTCGATGCTCGTTCTAATCTGTTGAGACGTGATCGAGTTTTTTGAGCAGCAGGAAAAATCCAGAAAGATATTAACGGTTAATAAGAGTTGTCTCCATTCATTTGAGGTTCGGTTTTTAAAACACTGCCAGCCGATAATCCCCACTTCGCCTTGTGATGGCTAATTCTGCCTCAAGACGAAAGGGCTTATCGAAGACATTTACCATATGACCAATGCAAAAGCTCCAAATATCACAAAGCAAAAGAAATCAATGTTTGAGAATAAGGCAAAAAGATGTGAAATGTGTTCACAGCAAAGTACATTTTTCTTCTCTTATGTCAATAGTTATATAAAAGAGTAAATCATCACACTGCGAAATAATCCTGGAGTAAGTTAGCAAAAGAAAGTGAGAAGAAAGGACTAAACATCAATTATAAGAATCTATTGTTGCTAGCAAGGCGGACATTTCAAAGTTCGAACTACGAGATTCTAAAGTCAAGCACTAAATTTATATATCTGGGAAGTGTTTTAACAGAAGACAGAAAGTGCGACACTGAAATCCGAAAACACAATGGAATAGCAAAAGATGCTTTCAAAAAGCTAAGCAAAGTATTTAGAAACGGAAAAATTTCGTTAGAAACAACGAAAAGAGGGATGAACTGCTATATACAATCAATCCTCCTTTATGGTAGTGAATGCTGAAGAATATCCTTACATATGAAGAAGAGACAACAGAAATATGGTCCTACAGAAGTGTGCTGGGAATACCATGGACTGAACACGTGAGAAACGAGGATGTTTTAAGGAAAATAGAAACAAAAAAATACACACACACTTAAAATCCGAAAGAGACAGTTGAAATTACTGGAGCAGATAATGAGGAAAGAGGACTTGGAGAATTTGACACTCACGAGACATGCTGAAGGCAAGAGAGATACAGGAAAGCAGCGATTAACCTACCTAACAAACTTGTGTAAATGGATGGTAGAACATGGATTTAGAAGAATATCGAAAAACAAAGAAGTACAAAAGATAGAAAGCTGTGGAGAGCCATGATAGCCCACGTCCTGAAGGGATAGAGCTCATAGAAGAAGAAGCTTGTTTCGCTAGTCATTAATACTATCTGTTACTAGGCACCTGAACCGTCTTGTGCATGACGATAAACTACATCCGCGTCCTAGGTAAGACGATAAACTACATCCGCGTCCTAGGTAAGACGATAAACTACATCCAACGGCAAGGCCTCTGATCAGGAGGTTTTGAGGAGCGTCGAACTACCTCTTAATTGCTGGTGTTTCCAGGTCCACCCTGACCCAGGATGGTTGCATCTGTTATGGTCCCAAACTGGGGTCAAAACACTATGAAAGTGTAAAAATAGGTTTTAATACCAGCAATAAATTTTTGAAGAAAAAAATTATTACCAGTAATACATTATCAGCAATACGTTTTTGAAGAAAAAAATATTACTAACAATACATTTTTGAAGAAAAATTACCAGCAATATATTTTTGAACAAAAATATTACTAGGAATACATTTTTGAAGAAATTTACCAGCAATACATTTTTGAAGAAAAACAATATTACCAACAATACATTTTTGAAAAATATATTACCAGCAATAAAAATCCTGTCGGTATTAAATAACCCATTGAGGTTGATATGCCTTAAAAGAAACCAAACCAAACCAATCGGCACTTGAAGTTTTGCGACAGACTAATCCAAACAGAGTATCTCACGGTGGAAATGTGATTAATATACGTACCCCAAAGGCCATTACTACTGCAGTGAATTCATACTAAGTGTCTCATACATATGACCTAATGACAAACTAGACCAAATACATTCTCAATAGAATATTTTGATAACGAACTAGTTTTCTTGAACATTACTTCTGTTGTAAGCGCGAACTTTACAATATGCGTCAGACTTGCTGACGTCAGTTAGACTCCGTTCATTGATAACAATATGAACGCTTCGTCATGGTGTAGTGGTTAGCAAGTTAGTTTTGTAAATCATTATTATCAATAGTGTATTTGAGCCTCATGTGACATACCGTTCGATTGTTCACATTGTCATAATATCTCCATATTTCTATATTTCTCTCCGTTCTTTTTTAGTTTCAAATTGCCGTATTATAAAGGAGTAACAGTTAATGCCGTTTGAATATTGTTTATTTTTTAGCAATATTATTCGTTAATAAGCTTGTTGCAAGATGAAATGGTAAATAAAAAGAAAGTGATAAGTGAAAATAGTGACCTGTCTGCTTTTAAAATCTGAAATTCTAACAGTTAATTTAACTTGCACAACCTATACGCAACTACTTCAGTCACCATACAAGACTATAGATAATTATCCGTATCTACCCGATCCAAGGATTGAAATTATGATTATTATATCTAGGGATATCTTGCCTTGGTTAATTGTTTAGTTATCCTCAGTCCTATTTCTACTGAACAATCAATGTCGATGAAATATTGCTAGGCAGCAGAATAAGAACTATCTACCCACGTAAATTGAATAAAGGGTCCAGTTCGAAAAGTTTCAAACACCTGAAGATAGTCCAGAGGGAACAACGCCCGAAATATTCCCTTGAGCCAAACATGAGCTTATTTGCCAAGCTTCGGAAATAACCTCAAATTTTTATATTTAAACTGAAGAGAAATCTCATGTTTTCTAATAATATCCTTTTTTTTCTTTTTCGTTTGATTTTGTTTTTTGGTGGGAGGGGTAAACCAGATCGACTTTTATATGAAACATAAGGAATATTATTCTTACAAGAGTTTTAATGTTCGGCTTTTAAATTATATACGATATCTATAAAATAAAAGCTTTACGTCTTAAGGTTCTATTGTTGTCTAACGCCAACATTAATAGCGTTTATACAGAGTCACTACCAAGAGTTAATAAGAATGATGAGAAATGACTTGACAATTCGAAGGGAGTAGAAAATATATCAGCACAACCAAAATCTCCCTAAAAATCGCATGATAGTTCATTTGGTCAGATTTTGAAAATTTCAGTACCTACTTGTATAATATCCAAATCAAATTACTCTAAGACTGAGAATATTAATAAGGTAGCTTTATAGCAATTTTCGGTCCAAGGTAGATTACTAATTGGTAACCATTACCTGCCCAAGTAACGTGTGATAAGTTCTACTTGAATATATGGTACTAGAAGCAAGAAGCACTCTCTGAATTGATAATGTAGTCTTTGTTCAGGTTACGTCCCCTCAGGACGTGTGCGATCATGGCTCTTCACACATTTCTTTTTTAATATCAGTTAAGTGACATGACGTTTTGAGAAAGATAATGGAATGGTCTCAAGTTGAATTAAGAGTAATTCTACTTCTAAACTGATTCACTAGAAAGCCTATTTCACTCATAGCAGTTAGAAATAATTGAAATTCCGATCGTTTACATTATGTTCATTTCGCACACAAATACTCTTGGGAAAGGTATGAATACATCCCTTCTCCCCAAGATATGGGTTAAGTAGGAGTGCAGTCTGAGCTCTATAAGCTTGGTTGGCAACCAGTCTAAGAGAAGGACAACTCGGAAATCAAAACCGGTTGGTGTATTAATGAGCAGTTAGAAGACCTTCACCCTTGGCTGGCAATTTATCAACAAATGGTATCTTAATAAAAACACCCCTCCTCCAGCATCTTGGGTCACACGTGTGGATGTTTCAACCCATAAAACGCACAATGAGCGAAATGCTTAAATCATGTGAGTTCCGTAATCTGCTGCAGACTGAGATAGCTTCTTCTTTTCGTTGGAGTGAAGAAAACTGGATTCATGCCTTTCCGGGAAGAATTAGTGCGAACCTGAACACAACAGATTGACCCGGAATTTGAAATCGGCTCGCCGATTCCGCTGACTGCGCCAATAACTAAAACCTTATTCTTTTGTTCTTAAATGCAAGGGTTGACTGGAATAGACATGCCGCTAGGAATTTTCAATTTATGAAATAAGCGTGCCGCTTCAAATAAACGTTCTGCCAGGAATTTTACATACATACATACATTTTTATATATATATATATATATATATATATATATATATATATATATATATATATATATATAATGTAGAACAGAATACTCAGTTGTGCCGCGTAGAAAATTACTTTAAAAATAACAATTGTACCAAATAAATACCGTACAGTGGAGGGGCAATTGAATGAAATGAATTAATCGACACTGGGATTTAGTATGGTGGAGTACCCGCACATCAATGAGTCCTAATTTTATATTTTTGTTTGATTGATTTGTTTTTTTAACGGATTATCAACCTTTTGCAGGTTATTTAAAACCAAAAAATATTTTTAGAATATAAAAATTCTTGGAGATAGTAATGATTTACTGATAGTAGTCCTACTAATTAACCCATAGCTGAGTGGAAGACGTGGATTCATACCTTTCCCCAAGGCATTTGCCCGCAAGTGAATATTAGGAACCCCACTGTAATTGAAACTCGGCTCTCCGATTTAAATTTAAGAAGCGTTATCCATTACATCAGCCACACATCCAAGCTTACAGCACCTGGTATTCCCAAGCAGTCACCCATCTGGGTACTAACCAGGCTCGACATTGCTTAACTTCGGTGATCGTACGAGAACCAATGTTTCATTGTGATATGGCCGTAAGCCAAATTTTATGGCTCTAAGCATTGTACTAGAGTGGCAGTTAGGTCTCATTATTTTACCGTTGAAATTGCTAACTGTATCTATAAGATCTATGCGAACAATCCTTTCTCTGATACATCTTGTTTTCCAGTCAAATACAATCTTCAGAATTTAAATGCAACGTCAATCGTCATCTTCTGTCTCCTCGAATCCTGTTCATTTTATTGTCTTCTCTCCTCAGTAACGTTTTCTCAGTTTCCTCCACTCTCAGTAAGCCCTTGCCTATTAGCGACTTTATTGCATTGGTTGGGTTAAAATGATTTTTTTTTAAATATCAGCGTTTCAAACAGAATTGAACGCAAAACGATTGGCGTGTCTAGCTATCTTGTTCACTGATTCTCAGCTCTGCTTGCTCAGTAGGAGTAAATATAATAACTAATATCCACAATAACGCAAATAAATACATTAATTAATAAATTAAAAGAAAAAAAATAAACAAAATAGATGTAAGGACAAAGAGATTCGGAAAAGGCCAGGATAAAAATGGAATAAAGCAAATCTTTAAAATAAATAAATCGAAGTTCCACTTTACACAAAAGTGGATTTTCTACAAGTTAAAGTCTTTTTTTTTTTTTAAATCGGCTTGTTGTCATAAAATACAAGGCACAAAAATACAAAACACACAAAAAAGAAAAAAAAAAAGCTAATTATTTATAAAGAATCAGTAAATGAAATTATTTCTTCTTGGCGCCATTATAGCCATATTAATAATTCTTTGTCTTTCTTCTATATTCTTTCTTCTTCAGCATTTTCAAGAGAATTTACGACTTAGGGGAAAAAAAAGAGGACTTTTTCCCTGAATTTTATATCTATTTTTTAATTTATATTTATGGGAACAATGTCCGATTGAAATAAAATTTCGTCTCCTTTTATTCACCGAATCGGCAGAACATCCCGCGTGACTGCAATCGAACATATAGGTGGCGCTGCAGTATATTTTCTATTTTATGTTAATTGGACGTTATTGATTGAAACAAAAGAAACCTTTACTTCTTCTTCATTATTATTATTATTATTATTATTATTATTACTACTACTACTACAAATAATAATAATAATGTGATTTTCAAGATACAGATATTTGTTGCAGGCTAAATTTGGGACCGATCCAGATTCTAAAATCAACACGTTATGCTTGAAATCAGTACAACTAGCTGAGAAGACCTGCTTGTTGACCACAACATTACGATTCGTTCTACCATGATATATATAATGTTGGAGGTTCGGTTTCCTGTAATACTTAGGCTAAAAAAAAGATTGAAATATATTGAACACAAGGAGATATTTAAAATATGATCGATACTGAACAATAAGTTTGTCTAGTGGATCAATACTGTTGTTATCAGTACGATACTCACTCGGTGCTACACGTTTGTGGTCTTGTGCCAGTCTATTAAGCTTAGTAAATTCTAATGTGCATTTAAATTACCGATCAAAAAGAAATGTCGGCTCATCATGCAACAGTTTTAATAGTAGAAAGCGAAAAAAGGCAATATGAACTCGAAAATTTCAAGATTCCAATCTTCCTTTCCTTCCTTCTCAATCAAGGGATTTCTCCTTTAAAGGAAGATACACTAATACCTCTGTTTAACAGATAAAAAAAGAGGAAACATCGGTTTGATAATGCTGATTATCCGTAGTTACCGACGCTAGGTCTATAGTGTCGAATATTAATAATTACATTATGAAAGATTTGTGACCAAGTAAATGGTTAAAGAAATAACAAAACAAGTGTTGCAGATATATTATATATTACACAGTAAGTACAACAGAAGAGTATTACACGACTAGTGAGTTTGTGTCAGTTGACCCAGCGTTCAATCTATTCGACTGTTAATATTTACCAACCTCCCCACGAGGTAGGATTTGGCACAAGGCCGAGATTAATGTGGGGCAATCCGAGCCAGTAGGCTCGGTCAAAAATTCCCCTTAGACCACATATAAAACTGGGTTGGGTAGCTGTTTCCCTAGACGAGACTCTGCCCTTTGACACAGCCTCATCTGGGGATCCTCTCTGCAAAGATGCAAATATTTTGACCAGCACAGCAGGAACAGATCTATTTGACTTAATATTTAACATCCCCCCTACGAGGGATGTATGTGGCACAAGGCCGAGTTTACCGTGGGTTCTCCGAGCCCGTAGGCTCGGCCAAAAATATTCCCTTAGAAGCCGCCTAAACGGGTTCAGGGCCTGTCGACCTCCCCGGACAAAATTTTGCCCTGCGGCAAAGCCTCGTCCGGGTTCCTCTCTACCAAGGCAGAGAGTTCGACAGTTACGAATGGTCTGGTCGACTGTTAATATTTAACAGCTCTCCCCCCCGCCCCACGAGGGATGTATGTAGCACAAGGCCTCGTCCGGATTCCTCTCTTCTCGAGACAGAGAATTCGACAGTTGAACAATCTGGTCGGCTGTTAATATTTAACAGCCACCCCCACGAGGTTGTATGTGGCACAAGGCCGGTTTATTGTGGGTATTCCGAGCCCGTAGGCTCGGCCAAAAATATTCCCTTTGAACCCGCATAAACGGGTTCAGGGACTGTCTACCTCCCCGAAAGCTTCGTCCGGGTTCTTCTCCGCCGAGACAGAGAGTTCGACAGCAATGAAGAGTCTGGTCGACCGTTCCCCCAAGGCCTTCTCTTCTACTAATCTTGTAGTAGGCGAAAGAGTCCAACATAGACTCTTTAGAGGGAGGAGACTACAACAGAAAGAAAGAGCAATAATACAGAATATTACATGTAATCATGCATACTATCCAATCTAATAAAGTGCAATACACTGTAAATATACACTATTTTTTGCTTCTGTTAAATTCACCCTCTTCCGTTTTTCTATTCTTTTCTATTTCGACATAGTTATAGAAAATGGTGAATATAAAACAATTTAAACATACTGGCTTATAAAAAAGGAGAAACCCCCATGGATCAATCACTAATACGTGTACTGAGTGATGAAAATAAAATGACGATCCGCCAACTAATGGTTAGATCATGAAGTAGCAGCTTGTATCCAGTGTTGCCACAAATCCGTCTACAACGCATGTGACTTACAAACTGAGTTGGCTGCTCCAGATTTTGTCCGTTGCTTCCGATATCCCTTAAAGGGGGGGGTCCGTAATACCGAGGTATGGTTGTATATATACCTTCCTCAGAGAAGCTTCTTAGCTGTTTTCGTAGCTACATCCTATCTTTTTCTTCCGCTTCATCCTCATTAGAGAATCATTCTTTTCTGTTGTGCAGCTCCAATTATTAGATAGAAACCAACCTCTGCTCCTTCATGGAGTCTGTCAGCATTCAGCAAAACTACTTTTCATAGAACTTTAAGTAGCCAATAGATAGAACTAAACTTCAGGCACTACCATGGTTCACCTAAAGGCTTTCATAGAGTTTTGCAATACCGATTCTTATGTTAGCTGTAATGGGAATATCAACTTGTTTGGCTTTATTTTCATGCATAGTAGCAGCTGGCCTGCCACAGCGTGTCCTGTCACTAACGTAAATTTTTCTTTCCTCTCTAGCATTGTCTGGTCCATCTCCAAACTGCGCTTTTACCAACTGAAACTTTTTCATCAATATTCACTAACCACTTAGTAATGTTTGCAGCACTTTCTCCTTCTCAAAGCAAAACTTTCATAACATCTCTTTGCTTTCTACAGGTGTTCAGAAGGGCAACCATTTTGAAAGAGATTTATATATAGGTAAGAGAATATACCTCCACAACTTTTCCCCTTAGATTTTGTTGCGGTGTTCTCCCTCTAAAGAGTCTATGTTGGACTCTTCCGCCTACTGTAAGATTAGTAGGAGAGAAGGCCTTGCGGGAACAGTCGACTAGACTGCTCACTGTCGAACTCTCAGCATCGGCAGAGAGGAACCCCGACGAGGATTTGCCACAGGGCAAAGTTTCGTCCGGGGAGGTAAACAGGCCCTGAACCCGCTTATGCGGGTTCTAAGGGAATATTTTTGTCCGAGCCTACGGGATCAGATAACTCCCGGTAAACTCGGCCTTGTGCTACATACATCCCTCGTAGGGGGAGGCTCTTAAATATTAAGTCGAATAGACTGAACGCTGTGTCTACCGACGCACACTCACTAGTCGTGTAATATATGATATATTTGCAACACTTGTTTTTGTTATTTCTTTAACCATTTACTTGATCACAACAGATTTCGAGGCACTTCATGGTTTATAGCTAAAAAAAAGAATGCGTTAAGACATTTGAAATTATATTTGAACAGGCACAATTTTTTCTGATCGGCCTTAGCCTAAGAACATAATGTAGTGTTATCTTTTTCTTCGTTCACTGTTGCAAAACTTACTTTTTCCGAGAATTGTTCTCTTTGATGCGTACACACACACACACACACACACACACACACACACACATACATACATGAACTTTCAGTAGTCAATAGATAGAGCTAAACCGCAGACACTACCATGGTTCACCTAAAGGCTTTCATAGTGTTTTGCAGTACCGATTCTTATCTTAGCTGTAATGGGAATATCAACTTGTTTGGCCTTATCTTCATGCACAGTAGACTCACACAGCAAAAATAATTGTATGCAGATATCAACTAAAAATATATATTTAATTGAACAAGGCAAACAAGGAATGTCTGTTAATCCTTTTGGTTTATTTCTCCTGGTGTCGAAGAAGTTGGTTGTTGGAAACATGTAAAGGAACTTGGCGAAATTGTGAATACCCCTAACATTCGTTTGTCTGTTTCAAGTAAATGGAGTGTTTCTGTTGTTAACTCATCAAAGATTAAAATAAACGTAGATTTATATCTTATAAGGAGGAATAGATTTTAGCTCTTTACGAGTTCCGTTGACTAGCTGTCGAATTCTACCTTAAGAGGCAATTGAGAAAGTACTCGGGAAATTACACACAGTTTTGGAAAGTTCCATTACAAGATTTTACTTGATATCAAGCAACTTATTTGATACCAGATCAATCTCATCAA